GTAGAGACAGATGAGTAGGCACTTTTCAAAAATGTGATGATGTACAATCACACCTGCAACGTATCCCACACCACTATTCACATTGGTAGGTGGAATTCTTTAAAAGTTTTGGCAATTCGATGGGTATTTAATTTAAACGAACATTTCTCTGGTCATCTTGTTCTATAAGCAATATGAATTTCCTCTTCAGCAAACTGTTTATTTCCTTTGCCTATTTTTGACTTTTAAAAAATTCTTTGAAGGTACCTGTGTATTAAAGTTTCTCAATTAACTTTGTATATGGTGTCTTTTATTATGCATATTCACTGCTCTAACCAAGAATATTACTCAGATAGTTGTAGAGTATAAAGAAAAGGCAATTTAAAAAAAAAACAACACCCATTTTATTTATCCCTGCCCCCTACTCTCACCACAGTTTATATTTATGAAGTTATGTCCTTCAATTCCTGAACACTCCCTGCCAAGAAACTGACTTTGTCATTCCCACTTATAACCTCAACATTTTGTTTGTATCTCTACGTAATTCACGAATACTTTTTAGGATTATATAAATAAAGTCATAGGTATTCTGTAATTCGGTTTATCATCTCAATGTCTTGTACCAGAGATTCATGATATGAATACACTACAATTCATTTAACTTTTCTTACTAGTGATTATCCCAGTACTTCCCAGTTTTCAGGTGTTCTCAGGTTTTATCATCACACAGTAGGACTGCTCTCAGTACTCTCGTACATGATTCTTAGTAGGTGAACATAGGCTATATAAACCCTGGCTGGGACATAGGGCATGACTAAGTAAATGCCGAATGGTTTCTAAAGAGCTTGCCTCAATTTACATTCCACCAGCACTATTTAGTCTCTGGTTATTCTACATATTTTCCAGTATTAGGTAACATCAGACTTTAATATTTATGGCAATCTGGCAAGTATAAAATGGTATCTCATCTGGCTTATCTGACACTTTCCTGATTACTAATACCACTGAACAACTTTGATACATATTTTGGGCTTTTGGTTTTCATTTTCTATGAAGTGCCTGTTCAAGACATTATATATTTTCTCCTGTGTTATTTGTCCTCCTTGGTGATTTATACAAGTTCTTTATATAATCTGGATAGTAATTCTATATTAGTTACACAGCCAGTAAATATCTTCTCCAATTTTGTGGGGTTCTTGGTTGTGTCTTTGAGAAACAGAAATTCCTAATTTTACTATCAACTGATGTTATTAACCTTTTCTTTTTGTTTACTTTTTCCTTTGTGTCTTATTTAAGAAATTTTCCCCTACCCTGAAGTCACAAAAATATTCCATACAGCCTTTTTAAAAGTTTTATAGTTGGGGGGCACCTGCATGGTTCAGTTGCCATGAGTCTGACTCCTGATGTCAGCTCAGGTCATGACCTCATGGTTCGTGGGTTCGAGCGCTGGCAGTGCAGACCCTCTTTGGGATTCTTTGTCTCCCTCTCTCTCTGCCCCTCCCTGCACTTTCTCTCTCACTCTCTCAAAAATAAATGAACATTAAAAAAAGTCTCCTTAATAGTTTTATAGTTTGCTTTATCCACTTATTTTCTACCTTAAATCTAGCTTGAATGTATTTTTTTTTTCAAGGTATGAGATGGGGAGGTCTAATATAATTTTTAAAAATATGGATAACCAGTTGTCTCAAAACAACTTGTTAAAAACTCCAATCTTTCTCCACTGATCGACCCTTCTTATGCAGTTGTCATAAAATAAGTTCACATATATATGAAATGTGTGTGTATATGTAATATGCTTCTATGCTCTTTATTCTTGAATCTGTTTGTAAACCTCTGTACAAATAATATGCAGAATTAATTCTGTGGCTTTTTAGTAATTTCAGGTATCAGGTAAGCCAGGATCTTCCACTTCATTCTTCTTCAAGAGTCTCAGGTACTCTGGCCTTTTTTCCTTTCTTATAAATTTAGGATCAGCTTATCAAGTTCCACAAAATAGTGTATCAAATCTTTAGATCAGGACAGGCAAAAATGACATAACTTTCTGTCATTCAATTTTTTTCAAAAGACAAAAAGTTCTTACAGTGAACGAATGTATATGCACCACCTATATCTTCCAATTTCCATTTACTACATATAGCTTCTAGTCATCTATTAATCCATTGATATTCAAATGCATTTCAAAGTAAGTTGCAGACACTTCAACCTTACATACATCAAGGTATTGATTTTATATATTTATTTTATATCTGACCACTTAATCTTCTAGATGAATATTCATATAATCTTTAAATAAAGATACTTTTGCTTTTTCTATTTCAACTTTTACTGATTTTTTGACAGTCCTATCTTCCTACAATTAAAAAATTCTCAAAATAGACTTGAAAATCGTGATGATAGTTTGCACTCCTGTCTTTGCCCAATTTTTGTGCAAATGATTTAAGATTCACTATTTAGTGATTGATCACTGGCAAGTAATCAATCATATTCAGATTTTTTTTCTAATTCCAGTTTTACTTTAACAAGTTTTTACTGAAAATGTCTGACAAATTATATAAAATTCTTCTCAACTTCTATTAATATTATAACACTTTATCTTTCCTTTGTTAATATGATGATTTACAGTTAGATTTCCTAATGTTTAAATATTCTTACATTTTCAGAATCAATGCTACCTGATTATGGAATATAATTAACTTGCACTCCTGCATTCAATTGACTAGCATCATATTTAAAATGAATCTACATGCTTATGATTTCTTTTTTCCACACAGTTTTTATCAGTTTTTAGGACTCTGACTATTTAAATAAATGAGAAACACCCTAATGGTAACAACTAGCATAAAATAGCGCCTATCTATTTTTTTACTAGGTTAAGCAGAATTCAGTTATATAACCACCTGGGTCTGGTGACTTTCTAAATGGAAACTTTTGTAAAAACACATTTCATATTTCTGTGACTATTAGTTTATCCAAGTTTTCTTAGACAGATTTGAGTAGACCAGTTTAGTAGGAAACTCCATGTCCTCTAGATTTTTCTTTAAAAAAATTTTTTTTTTCATGTTTATGCAGAGAGAGAGGGGGAAGCAGAATCCGAAACAGCTCCAGGCTCTGAACTGTCAGCACAGAACCCAACGTAGGGCTAGAACCCAGATCATCACCTGAGCTAAAGTCAGATGCCCAACCAACTGAGCCACCCAGTTGCCCCTCTCTAGATCTTTAAATGTACTGAGTTCACATACTATCTTTAAAAAATAATTTTTTAAGCTCTATATCTCCTTTCTTTTTTCTAATGTTATTTTGTTTGTCTTTAATTTTCTTAATGTGTTATTCCAGAGAGCTGTGCACCTTTAGCAGGAATAATTTACACTTTTACCATATTTTTGTGTGTGGGGGGGTTAATAACAGGGTTTTCCTTTCAATAAAAATTAAATACTACTTATATCTTTTACCTTCTCCTTTCTATATTCCGATTTTTGGTTGCTCTGTTCCTATTATTTTGAATATTTATTTTACTTATTTTCAGTTTTTATTTTTTTTTAAATGTTTTATTTATTTCTAGGAGAGAGAGAGAGAGAGAGAGACAGCGTGAGCAGGGGAGGGCCAGAGAGAGAGGGAGTCACAGACTGAAACAGGCTCCAGGCTCAGAGCTGGCAGTCAGCACAGAACCAGACGCGGGGCAAAAACCCAAGAAACGAGAGATCATGACCTAAGAGAAAGTCGGACGATTAACAGACTAAGCCACCCAGGCACCCCTTCAGTTTTTATTTTTAATAATAAAGGAATTTAAAGCTATAAATTTTTCTCTGAGTACAATGTACTCTAACTACCAATTCGACTTTTGAAAATGTGCTCTACAGAAATAAAAGTATCAGTATTCAAGAATATATGGATGCTCGTTATAACTTTTTTTTACAGTGGTAAGCAAAGAAGTAAATATACAAAAAGAAACCTTCTGAAATACAGCTTAAATGTCAATCAATATTAGAATGGTTGCCTCAGTTATATTATAGGTTCACTACAGAAAATTATCTTGTCGTGTAAATTTGTGTATGTTGCACTAGACGGATCTCAAAAATACTATTATGCGTAAAACAAAACTGCAGAGTTATGAGACTTGTACTATTCATTTTTGTAAACAAAAGCATACGAAACACAAACATACCAAAAAGTACTTTTGTTTTTGTATCTACATACATACACACACACACACACACACACACACACACACACACACACGTATACATAATATATACTTATGTGTATATCTGATGTGAAAGATAATATAACCAAATTTACTTGGCTACTGTAAAGAGACACATCAGACATGGCATGAAAAGAATGAACCTATTCTTTACACATCTCTGCCTCATTTAACTTGTTTAACAAGAATTCATTACTTCTATAAATTAAAACGACAAAAGTCTATTGACATGACTAGGAAATTTTGGTGTTAATTCCAGGAGCCTATTTTAAAATTTAATTGATTAATCTCTCTCCATGATGGCTTTCCTGTCACAATTTTTGCAATATAAATCATTACTGTGAATAGTTCTTCTGAATAAAAACCAATTAATGGCTTAACATCTATATTGCTTTCATCTTCATATATATATATGTACATATGTATATGTGTATGTATATGTTTTTATATATATTGTTTACATATATATTTTACATATGTATTATATACACATATATTTTTTTAGTGTATGTTAATGTGTACTGAAACTCCAGGCTGTTATTCTACAAAATCTCTAGTAGGCCTCCTGAAGAATTTCCTTCAACAGTAAACTTGTGGAGAGCTGAAGAAATAAAAATACTAACTGGGCAGAAAAAAAAAAAAAAAAAATAGGAGAGCTATGTGTTCTTATCCCACAACAGCAATACTAATTATTAGTTGTAAGAAGACAAAGGACTTATTTATGGCTATGAGGAAAAAAAAAAAAAGCCACTTTTACATCGCAGAAGTCAAGGTGTCAGACAAAACAAAAGCAAAAACAACAACAAAAACCCAATAGTACCTTTTTCTTGTGATATTTTCTTCGTGGTGACTTGATGCTGGCAGGGAGATTCTTCCGTCTCATGGTCAGATTTTGAAGGAGAGGAGAAGGAAGCGTGTGCCCATGTCGAGGAGGGAGGCTCCCCTCCTGGGTGCAGCGGTCTTCCTTGAAATTCAGTTATGTGGTCAGATGAGAAGGGCACACTGCCAGCCGCTGGGGTGAGGGATGGAGCACCAGAATCTGATTCTGGAGAAGTTCTCAAACCCTTGGGCAGAAGTGATTTGGTAATGTGCATGTGGTTATAGAAACTGTTTGAAGGCTGTTGGTATAAGAGATTATAAAGGACGTTATGCCGCTGAGCATCAGCTCCAGGGAATACTTACTTTGAAATCAGACCAAACTGTTTTAGTATATCCCTTGAAAACCACTGTTTGTTTGTTGGTTTACAGATGAGACTGCATAGTTTACAACAATTCACCACATTATCATTGTGGCTAACACAGACACCTAAGACATACAGAGATCATTACTTGTACATTCATTATTTCCCACTAGGTAAAACCAACAGCTGAATATAAAAGCACCTTCACAAAATATGACAATATGGACAATGCCCTGGGGTTCGTTCATTGGATGAGTACAGACAGAGTTTGAATTACAACAATATAACAAGTTGAGTAGGGATTTGGGAGGCAAAGCAGTGAACTATTCCAGCTGTTTCCATCTAGGGCATAGAATCTGGTTGCAGAAAAAATCATTACCTTCAATACACTGTAGGAACAAGTGTACAGCTCAGGACTGCAAGGCAGAAATTGGTCAAAGGTGCTCACCTTTCGTTCCAGACTGTCTTCCCCATCTGTTGAACTGACACTATCATAGAGTCTTGTCCTAGAGGGCCTCTGGCGTCTGTTCTTCACAGAGAGCTGGGCTCGGGTTTTCAGTGCTTTTGAATCCAGGCGCTCTGTCTCGGGGACTGCCTCATTCAAGTCTAAGAAAAGAATATTGCAAAATAATCAGTGAGAAGAACTTTTGAAGAGGACTGACAAAGAGACCAGAGACGGTGATAACAAAATCTCAAGGTAATCAGTAATATCAGGCAAAAAAATAGGTGACAACCCTGCCGGCCTGATAAACCACAGGTAAGAAATAAATCAGGGAGATTTTGGAGAGATGTACAAAGCATAATGGAAGAAACCAACACCAAAGATGACCAAGGCAACCAAAAAAAATCTAACATCCTTTCTAAGGAGCATAACATTCCAGGTAAGTTCAACCAGAGAAGAGTTTTTCTCTTCCCAACTCTCACTACCTCTAATCTTGCTGCCTGGAGTCCAATTCAGGCACCATTCTTTTCTTTTTTTTAATTTTCTTTTTTAACGTTTATTTATTTTTGAAAGAGAGAGAGACAGAGCATGAGCCGGGAAGGGGCAGAGAGAGAGAGAGAGAGAGACAGAATCTGAAACAGGCTGTCATCACAGAGCCCTATGCGGGTCTAGAACCCACAAACCATGAGATCATGACCTGAGACAAAGTAGGACACTCAACCAACTGAGCCACCCAGGTGTCCCTCAAAGTCACCATTCTAACGGGGAGGAGGAAATGTCACCCATCCATTACTCTATGTAGGCATGGATGAGGAAAAACTCTTCTCTGGTTGAATGTTACTGCTCCTTAGAAATAATGTAGTTTGATTATCAGTCCTATTTTATCTTCTTCTTTTTCTTTACTTAAATAGTTTATTGTCACGGTGGTTTCCATATAACACCCAGTGCTCATCCCAACAAGTGCCCTCCTCCATGCCCATCACCCCCCTTCCCTCTCCCCCACCCCTATCAGCCCTCAGTTTGTTCTCAGCATTCAAGAGTCTCTTATGGTTTGCCTCCCTCCCTCTCCCCAACTATTTTTCCCCTTCTTTTCCCCCATGGTCCTCCGTTAAGTTCCTCCTAATCCACCTATACGTGCAAACATATGATATCTGTCCTTCTCTGCCTGACTTATTTCGCTCAGTATAACCCCCTCAAGGTCCATCCATGTTGCTACACATGGCCAGATCTCATTCTTTCTCATTGCCATGTAGTATTCCATTGTATAGATAAACCACATCTTCTTGATCCATTCATCCATTGATGGACACTTAGGCTCTTTCCATGTTTTGGCTATTGTTGAGAGTGCTGCTATGAACATTGGGGTACATGTGCCCCTCTGCATCAGCACTCCTGTATCCCTTGGGTAAATTCCTAGCAGTGCTATTGCTGGGTCATAGGGGAGTTCTATTATTAATTTTTTGAGGAACCTCCACACTGTTTTCCAGAGGGGCTGCACCAGTTTACATTTCCACCAACAGTGCAGGAGGGTGCCCGTTTCTCCACATCCTTGCCAGCATCTAGACTCTCCTGATGTGTTCATTTTAGCCACTCTGACCGGCGTGAGGTGGTATCTCAGTGTGGTTTTGATTTGTTATTTCCCTGATGATGAGGGATGCTGAGCATTGTTTCATGTGTCTATTGGCCATCTGGGTGTCCTCTTCGCAGAAGTGTCTGTTCACATCTTCTGCCCATTTCTTCACTGGATTATTTGTTTTTCGGGTGTGGAGTTTGGTGAGTTCCTTATAGATTTTGGATACTAGTCCTATTTTATCTTTTTAGAGTGGCAGTCATTAAATGAAGTGATTATGTTCACAGAATTAATAATTAAATGCTTCTGTATTTAAATTACTAACAATAAAGCAAATAACTGAGTTGCAGAAAATCTGTACTGGTATTAATGGAATAACACAGTTTCTTACAGTAGCATTACATGAGGCAATTCCTTTTCATAGTACTAACACGAAGGTGTGCTCTAAATATATTATAAGCCCAAAACAAGGAAGCATCTCAGGTTATACCTCTCTTACATACGGAATCTAGCATCTGACATATGGTTCTAACAAATAACATTAAACCTATTTTTCCTAGAAGATACATCCCCTGAATGACAATATTTATAGAAGGTTCTGAATTTTCATTTCCTGTATTTGAAAGAAAAGTGAATATTCAGAAAAGTCAGATTATTCAGGTATATATAAAGGACAGCTAAATATTTTCTAATTAGTAGTCTCTTTATTGTTTACATGTCAATGAAGAAAAAATAATCTCCTTGATCACTTTAATTTCTTCCTTTCAATAGAATCTAAACTTGCAGCTGCTGATTAAGAGTTCATTAGTTGTGATAATTGGGAGATAATCAACTTTACAAGCTCTTGTTTACATATAAAATGTGGAAACACCACCCAGATGAAAGCAATAATATAATTAGATATACTGGCATACAAGCATGTTTCACAGCTTATCTATCTCGTATTTGGACTGTACCTTCTCTGACACAAATCACAGTCACACACACCAGCTCATGTGTTCCTCACAATAGCAATATGTGACAGAGCAGCCAAGGGTGTTTGTTTTACCCTCTCCTGTAGTTCAGAGACCTTGAGTAACTTGCTCTCTTCTGCGTTGCTAGTCGATGAGCTGCCAAGATTTTTCTAGTTTTTGACTCCCAGGTTACTAGTCTGTGCCCTCCAAATTCAGTTAGTGTTGAACAAGTTACTAGTTAATGTTCAGTGTTTTCGGGTTATAAAACCACATAAAATGTGACTAATCTAGGACATTCATGTCTCCAATTGGCTACATATGAAATATTATTATTAATCTTCCATATATGTGTTAAAAAAGCATAAAAAGAAAAAACTATTTCTCAGATGATTTCTTATTTGGTTGGCTTAATAGTAGCTTTCATTACTTGATGACAAGACCCAAGGAGGAAGCTCATTCTACTTTTGTAAAATGGCTCCCTCTGCAATAGAATCCTGGCCTGGGAGCACCCAACATAGCACCCACCATCCAGGATTGCAACAGCTGGCCCATCAGGAGGTACCGAACAAAGTAAGTAAGGGAATGTGAGAATACTTATTAGCAGGGTTTAGAGTGTAGTGAATTTATTCTGGGGCTTGGGGGCTCCATTCCTATTCAGCAATTGGCCTAGTACCGGTATCAGACAACCCCCAAATAGCAAACTGGACTATCTGCTCTAATATCAGCTCGCACTGACTAGGTGCAAACTACTGGAGCACACATATGGAATTACATCTATTAAAGATGAAGTTAGCTGGAAAAACAGTGCCTTACATCCATTGTCCAAGTGGCCAACAAACACCTGCCTCCAATTAATTTTTGAGGACATGAAAACAAAGTTCTTGAGGTCACATTATAGCAGTGATTCATGAATTATAAATCAGCAATTTATATTCCATGCTGAGCACAAATTATTTGAAGTAAAGAACCAGAAAAAAATGGAATGGAGTGGAGAACTTTCACTTCACTGGCTTTTATGCCGGCAGAAAGCTGGAAGGAAAGCTTTCCTAAAGACACCACGAGTAACATCCCCCTTAAGAGTAATAGAGGAGGTGTGAAGAATAGAAGGAAAATGAGTACAGGACTTATGTGGCTGGGTAACTAGAAGCTATCTTTGGCTACCATGTCATATAAGAACCAGAATATTACAACTCAAAAGAAACTTATGGATTGTGGCCCAACCTTTTTTCCCAGAATTCAGAAACCCAGGGCTCAAAAACTATTAACTTGTTTAGTAACTACATCACACAGTTAATCTGTCCTCAGAAGCCTCTCCTCCTTCTGGAAAGTCACTCTCCAGTCTGAAAGTAAACTTCACACGTAATCTTTTGCCTTCATTGAATCTTTGTTTTAGTCTTACTTTATGTTCCAAACAAAAATACATGTCAAGGGCTAACTCTGCAAATTTCCAGAAGTACATAATATTGAGGAAAGAAAAGAAAAACCTGAGGGATTTTATTTGGCTTTATGTATACCCAAGTAACAAAATTCTTACATCAAAAAATTAGCTGTCATTTTCGTGGACAGCAGTGTGGCCAAAGAAATCCAACTGGCTCAACATTTCTAAGTTACATGCTCCTGAATGCAAGGGCTTAGGTGGCTGTATTCTCTCACTGTTTTTCACTCTCTACAGAGACCTTAATCAGTAACATAACACTGCTTTTATAATCCCAAGACGCTGGGTCCTTCCTCTACCTCTTGTCTCTATTCTATTCTGTCTATTGTCCATAAGAATCTTCTCTCTTTTTCTCTCTATTCTTTTTTTCAGACCCTCCAGTCTCTTAAAAAAAAAAAAGCGCCTATCTCTGACTCAAATTGCAGCTAGAAATACAAAAGAAGAGCAGACTCAAGTGGATTAATAAATACAGACAAATGCAGAAATGATATGAAGTAGTTAACGAGAGAGTGGTTTTGTGTGGGTGGGACTCCACCTCAATGTACCTGCATTTTAAGACAAGTTTCAATATTGCTTCAAATTGGATCCTTTAAAAGGATTTAATGGATTTGATTATGATTTTAGCAGCTGTTATGAAAAATGGTCTGTGAAATTAGAATGTTATATATCATATTACACAGCGACCGGTTCCCTACAGTAATGCTATGAGTCATTCAGTTTTTTCACTCGATTGACGTTATTTTTGACGTAAATGGAATGCTGCCCACAGATCAGATATAGATGGCAAGCGAAGGAGGGGAATGAAGCAGCCTGATGATGGGGTCTGCTCTGCACTCTTACGTGCATTCTTCTCCTCAAAAACAGTGCTACCTTCTACTATCACATGTACGCTATTGTCAGCTACAATGCTGAGCATCACAAAACATTTGGTGGCATTTTAAAACTTGAACAGTCTCTGCATATCACTCCCAGTCACTGCAAGGTTGTAAAAGACGGGCCTCCGGGGTTTTGGGTTGATCCATACTGCGTTCAGAGGTAGGTTTATGTGTTGCAGGTGCTGTGAAACAGTTACCATGAGAGTGATCTAGAGTTAGTCTTCTTTGAACAGAATCCAGAACTGTGGCTCTCTGGCACCGAATTGGGCATTTTCCCTAACCTCTCTGTCCCTCAGAATCCCAAAGTGCAAAACGGACATGATAAGAACAT